GTCTCCCACCTCCACAACCACGTCCTCCTCATCCGCCTCGACCCCGAATACGCCTCGCACGAAGACCTGCCCAGCGACCCCTCCACCCCAGACGCAAAATGCTACCGCATAACCGACCACATGAACGCGCTGCCCGCAGGCCTCTGGGACACAACCGTCAAGTTCGACGCGCACATGACTGATCTCGATGACGGCGTATTATGGACTATCAAGGCGCCGCTGGGGCTCACACAGCAGACTACGTGGCGGTGTTTGAAGACGGAGGGGTTGAGTGAGGAGGATAGAGAGGGTGCTGAGGGATGCGAGTGGAGTCTTGTGGAGGATGTGGAGATTAGGGCGAATAGGATGTTGGTGGGGACGGTCAAGGCGAAGTGTGAGGAGAATTGGCCGGGGGCGCATGGCAAGTTTTTGAAGTATTGTACGGGAGAGACTGCGGCATAGTGGGATATTGATGGGAGGGGGTTCGTTTTCGGGTCTACAAGATGCTGGAGTATCGTGACTTGGCCCTGGGGTATGGATATCCTGAGTACAGCGCAAGTCTGCATCACTAGGTTTACAACAAATCTAGATGCAAACACTATCCCAGGTCTTTACGTTAAAATCTTTACGCTAAGATCAACGAACTCTTGTTGTCAAACCTAATGGACAGACAGCTACAACATGCTTGGTGCAATCCTCACCCGCCTGTCAGGAAACATGGAGAAGCCCGGCTGAATGGTCCATGTGCCGTTGGGCCCAAGGATGTATTTTGCCTGGCGTCTGGGGCGAAAAGTTCCAAGGCGGAGCCTCTGCGTCTAGAAGACATCCAGATTGGCGGAATTTGTACCAGTGGCGGGTCGTGGATGTCGGCTAGACGCAAAAAGGCTTCTGCTGGTTGACCCTGCATAACACCAACTGCAGGTTGGAGACCTGACCCTGAATGCCGATGCCTTTGTCTTCATATCTTGAATCTGAAGCAAACGTCATCTCGCAAGATGAGTGAGATGCCTGTAATCCAAGGCTCTTATCAGCTCACGCGACACTGTTCCAACGGTCAAGCGACCAATGTCTCTCTTCGGAGGTGCGCTGGTGACATCGGAGGCCGCACGTGGCGCGCCCCAATCGGGCCTTCCGGATCGACGCGATAGCAACGATAAGACATTGGACAACAGCACCTCGCTGCACATGAAGTCGCTGCACGTCGCTGCTGCTGGCATCCTTCGCGTCACTTGGTCGCACACCATAAGCATCGCACCCAGATGCCCTCAAGTGATGCCCGCTCGCCTTGTCAGCCAACGGCCAAGACCCCTTCTTGAACCGAAAGGCTATTGATCGGCCTCTGGCTCGCCGCATAACACGGGCCATATCCCCGCCTTTCTAGACTGCACTGAACTGCGCGTTCCGCCATCCGCTCAGCTATCAAAAACCGCGCACCCAACCACCGGGTCAGCGTCAGCTCCTCTTACGTTCGTTCCTTTTCGCTGGTACGGGGCTGTTCCCACCTTCTCATCCTGTCATCTTGCTTCGGTAGACGTGACGATATCCTCCCTCGGTCTTCGACTTCTTTGATCCTCCACCTTCCCCGCTTATCGCCGAGCACGCGTACCGCACAGCCACGCTTCACCATGGAGCCTTTGTCCATCGACTCGGTGGTCGTCGACCACAGCGAAATGCGTCCCGCGCCGGGAACCCCGCCGTCAGACGCCATCATGATCGAGCAGCCAAAGCTCAAGGGCAGACAGCGCCTTCTCAAGGGCTTACAACGGATGGGCTCGTCCTCGAGTCTGGCAAACTTGGGTAGACCCCGCTCTCACAGTCTGAGAAGCGGCGGGAAGGCATCCATGTCTTGCGTCTCCCTCGCATCGCCTGGCTCACCTTATGGAAACTCATTTGGCAGCTCCTACTCTTCAGAGCTGTCGAATGGCTTCTCCACAGCTCCTACCTCTGTCGCCAACAGCCCACCCGGCACGCCCTTCTGGGACGAGAGGACCCGTCTGCGGATGAAGACACCAGATATCCCGTCCTCGGTGCCTCTTCCCTCCGCCCGACGGCCATACACTCGAGATGGCATTGAAGCCGAGAGCGACTACTTCTCGCGACCCGTTCATAAGATTCAGAAGCGGGCAAACTTCAACTTCTGGAGTGATATGCCAACGGAGATCCGCATGCAGATCCTGAGATACCTCGAACCAAAGGAGGTTGTGCGTTGTTCGCGCGTCTCCAAGTCGTGGCATACCATGTGCTTTGACGGTCAACTGTGGAGCGATCTCGATACGAGCAAGTTCTACCGCGACATCTCTGCCAATGCTTTGGTCAACATCATCACATCGGCGGGTCCGTTCGTGAAGGATCTGAACCTCAGAGGCTGCGTACAGCTGAGAGAACACTGGGGCAAGGACGGCTTCATTGAGTCATGCCAGAACCTGGAGAACTTCTCGCTTCAGGGCTGCCGGATTGATCGGACATCTATCCACTGCTTCTTACTTCAGAACAGTCGCCTTGTCCACGTCAATCTCTCGGGTCTTGCGGGAGCGACAAACGCAGCGATGAAGATCCTTGCTGCACATTGCCCGAAAGTCGAAGTCTTGAACATTTCATGGTGCAACAACATCGACAACCGAGGGCTGAAGAAGGTGGTTGAGGGATGCACGAAGCTACGCGATCTCAGGGCTGGCGAAGTACGAGGTTGGGACGATGTTGAACTGATGGTCGCACTGTTCAAGCGCAATACTCTCGAAAGGCTTGACCTGAAGAACTGTGACAGTCTCAATGACGAAGCACTGGCTGCTTTGATTGAGGGCGTGGACGAAGAGGTCGATGTCCTTACCGATCGCCCAATCGTCCCACCAAGGAACCTCAAGCACCTGAACCTTACGCGCTGCCGCAGCATCACGGATGCAGGCCTGAAGACATTGGTACACAACGTCCCGTCTCTAGAAGGCCTACAAGTCTCAAAATGCGGCGGCTTGACCGACGATGCCTTGACCAGCCTACTTCCCACCGTTCCCGTTCTCACCCACCTAGACATCGAAGAAATCGACAACCTAACAAACGACGTCCTAAAGACTCTATCCGAATCCGCCTGCGCCCCCCACCTCCGCCACCTCTGCATATCCTACTGCGAAAACCTAGGCGACGTCGGCATGCTCCCCGTCCTAAAAGCCTGCACCCGTCTCGCCTCGCTCGAAATGGACAATACACGCATCTCGGACCTCGTTCTTGCGGAAGCCGCTTCCGGCCTCCGCAACCGCAACCGCGCCGCCCGTGGTCTCACAAACTCCGAACGCCCCGAAGTAGGCCTCCGCATCGAAGCCTACGACTGCGCAAACGTAACCTGGACCGGCGTCCGCGAAGTCCTATCTCGAAATGCGGAGATTACAAGACCGAACTCGCGGTCCGCGAGTAAAGTCGCGACGTACCCAAGTGAGATCATCAAGCTGAAGTGCTTCCATAACTGGCAGCCGACTGTTGAGGAACATACTAAACGTGTTCTGAGGGGTGACTTTGCGGCTGCGGCGAGGCTGGAGAGGAAGTGGGCGGATTGGATGATGCTGAATGAGGAGGCGGGGGTTGGTGGGGCGGGTGCGAGACGTAGGAGGAGAAGAGCGAGAGAGGCGCAGATGATGCATGCGGATGAGGAGGAAGCAGGTGCGGGGGCTACAGGTGGGGGCGGGAGGAGACGCCGCGCAAGAAGTGGCCCTGGCGGGTGTGCTGTGATGTGATTGTGACGAGGCTGGGTGGTTCTTGGTGTTAAGTGCATCTCCGCCGTAGGCTTATGGCGTATTCTTCTGAGATGGTAGTTGGCCCCAGGTTTGTGGGCTGATGCTGTGATGGTTGTCATGGCATGAACATGATGAACATGAGTCTAGGATTTTGTTTTCCGAGCGCGAACATTAGATTTCAACGATGTTTTGGCATTGGATGTTTGGAGTCCGGGGCTAGTCACTGTTTTACATTATAGATTACCTAGGTAGCATATGCTACAGTGCGGAGCTCCAATATATCTTCATACTTGTTCAACACATCGATTTCTATGCAATCATATCGCACTCCAATGGGTTGGGTAATGTTAAGATCACCTTCCGCACGTGAGCGCGCGACTAGCTCGATTTAGCAGCGCGTCGTTTGCTAGTTACGTTACATCATCTCGGACTCAACCCCATCTCGGACTCAATCCCATCCAACAAACATGCGCATGTCATTACAAGCTAGCAAGGCCGCCCACCATTCTTGCGTCAGTATCGAGCAAGCATAACGTGCTCTCTACCCATAGATGACAGAACGGTTTCTCGGAATATGATGTATCCGGACCAGAGGCGGCGTGGGTCTGCTTATGAGAGAAGCGCGGAAATCTTCCGGGACACTAGGTAGCATTACGAAGGAGCTCGTTTTTTAGTGTGTTGTGGAGTCTGTGCGGATTTTGGTGATAGCCTACAACACACTACAAACGAGCGTCTTCGTAATCCGGCAATATATCTTAGCACCATTGTCATAGTAAAGCCTCTTCTCGCGATTGCTAAGCCGGTAGTGTTACAAAGCTGGTAGCCGAAGCATCAGATGTGCATTGTACGAACGGTACCTGATCATGTGTTCGAATAGGGAATATAAACACTCTGCCACCTCGCGATACACAAACAAAGAAACTCATACTCAACACCTCTCTGACAGTCTCCAATCACTTCTTTTTCAACATCTCGATGGCGGAGTATCAAAACAAAGCGGCATGGCTACCAGGCGTAGGGAAGCAGGTCGAAATCGGTCCTGCCGATATCCCCGAACCGGGCCCAGAGGAACTTCTCATCGAGGTAAGGAATGTGAACGGGGAAAGCCAGTTCATTCGTACTCGCATTCACCTTTCTGTGCAGGGTTTCTGACAAACGACATGATGACAGGTCAAAGTGGTCGCTGCCCAGCCAGCAGAATACAAGATCCAAGAGGGAACACTTCCGTATCAGCTGAATTACCCCACCATCATTGGAAGTTAGTATCCGTTTCCATCAGAGGGGCTTCCGCTATAGAACATGGTTGCTAAGCCGAGTGCAGTATCATTTTCTGGTGTGGTCGTCAAAGTTGGCACGGATGTCAGCCGCTTCAAGAAGGGCGACCGCATCGTCACCAACAGTGCTGGAAGTATCCGCAATGATCCCCGATTTGGAGCATACCAGAAATACGCGGTTACCACGCAAGAAATGACAGCGAAGGTAAGGGGAACGAGATGTCCAGCTCAAGTCTCGCGATGTAACCAACTGTCTGCTAACAACATGGCCTTGCAGATTGGACAAGTGTCCTTCGAAGCTGCGGTATCCATCTCCAGCCTGGCCTATCCTGCCAGTGCACTTTTTAAACACCTGCACCTTGAGAAGCCAGCAGAACATACCAATCCCGAGAACAAGAACAAGAAGGTGCTTATCTGGGGCGCTTCTTCTTCTTTCGGCGCCTACGCAACCTATCTGGCTGCTAGAGCAGGTTATACAGTGGTGGGCGTTGCGTCTTCCCAGAATGCGCAGCTTGTGAAGTCCTTCGGTGCTGTGCACTTTGTCGACAGGAAATCACCGACAGCAACGCAAGAGCTCATAGATATAGGACCTTTCGAAGCCGTCTTGGCAGCTGCTGACGCTGCCCAGGATCAGCCTGTGTTGGGAGCTGTCTTGGCTGCGCACGGAGGGGGCTCTTTTCTGTCGACAATGGGCTTGCGACCCGGTGTGGAGCTGCCCCCTGGAGTTGAAGCAAACTTTGTGGCGATCATGGATGTCTACCTTGACCCCAAGACACGCGACTTTACCACGTGGGTGTGGTGGGATTTCTTGGAAAGTGAGCTCGCGGCTGGGCGCCTGCAGCCTGTGCCCGTCCATGTTCTTGGTGGCCTGGACATGGTGCAAGAGGCATGGAATCTGCTCAAGGCGGGGAAAGTAAGCGGCCAAAGACTGTTGATAGCACCTGGCCTTTAGTCACTTCGCACAGTGTATTAATGGTTGCACACTCGCTCAATGCACGTACTTATGTTGGCTGCGCTTCTACCGTTCTCCGAATCGTTGGCATGTTACTGTAGAGGAAAATGTTGCAAAGCTTGGCTTTCCTGCTACCGCGAATCTTGAACCATAAAATCCCGTCAAGCGTCGCGGCGTTTCCGTGCCTTCCTTTTACTCTGAACCTGATGCCGACACATTACGTGAGTTGAGTTCAAATGTTTGGGCTGGTACAATCAGCCACAGTCCGTTGGAGCTACAAAATTGGCATGATTCATGACACCTTGAAAATTACATCAGATGGTGATATGAAACCCCGCAGACTGTATTGGACTGTTAATGTGCGTAACGATTATATTGCACTCCCATGTATTGTGGTGTGAAGCGTAGGTAGCGTTCGCACGTGAGCGCGTGACTAGCTCAAACTGGCGGAGGCGCGCCTACCGTAAGGGTCCACGGGTATTTGCTAGCTGCATTACATCATTCTTCAACCCATGTACATCTCACAAACATCAACATCTCACCACGAGCTACCAAGGCCGTCAACTGCCTTGTCAAACTAGAGCCGAGCAATAATCATGTGCTCTCTACCCATAGATGACAAAACCGGTCTGGAGGCTTTCCGCATTGCGGGTCTGCCACCGGATTTCTACTATATCCCCAACTTCATTAGTCATGAGGAGGAAGCGTCGATTTTGCATAAGGTATGTTCTCTTCCCAGTTACCGGTACACTCGACAGATTTGAATACCGTGTTGCACAGAGGGTGTTTACTTACCCCGCCTTACTCTATGCATTGCATTCCATCTCCACACCCATTGCCACCGCGCATGACATCCACGTCTCAAACTATGCCTTTTCCCAACCCCCCTGCAAGTTGACTAACATACCCTCTTTCATATAGATCCCCGCCCAAAGATGGACCCACCTCACGCACCGCCGCCTCCAAGCCCTCCCCTCAACACTCACATCCAACAACACGCTCCTCGCCGCCCCTCTACCTACTTACCTCACCACACCCATTCTACCCCGCTTCAAAGACTTGGGTATCTTTGATCACACGCCACATGGGCAGCCAAACCATGTTCTGGTAAACGAGTATAAACCCGGTGAGGGCATCATGCCGCATGAAGACGGTGGAGCGTATGCTGAGGTCGTTGCGACGGTTAGTCTGGGAGGGGCGCTGTGTTTGGATGTGCTGGAGAAGGGTGGGGATGAGGGAGGGAAAGAAGAGGGGAAAGGAATGAAAAGTGGCGAAGATGAAGAACTTTCCCAGCCTCTTAACGCAGACGCAGACGGACAAGAGCATGAAACCAAAGAAAAGATGCTCTCACTCCCAATCCGCATCTTCCAAGAACCCCGCTCCTTACTCATCACCACCGGACGGGCCTACAGGGATCTCATGCACGGTATCGCGTCAATCGAGATTGATGAAGATTTGAACGCCGAGACGGTGGCGAATTGGGAGTTGTTGAGTGAGGAAGGGAGGAAACAGGTTGAAGAGTATGGAGGAAGGAATGTGAGGGAGGCGAGGGTGAGTTTGACGTATAGGGATGTGATTAAGGTTAGTAAGGCTGCGAGTAGGGTTTTGGGTGGGATGGGTAGGCGGTAGGCGGTAGGATGAATGGGGAGGGAGGGAGAGGAGGGAGAGATGGTGTGGGTGGATGGTAGATGGATGTTTGAACGTGTTCATAATCTTCTCTGACAACAAAAGAAATGTCAACTACACTTATATACATCCCCCTCTCTTACTCAGCGCATAACCGCTTCCAACACACCCACCCTAAGTCTTCAACAAGCAAGCACCCTACTGCTGACCCTTCGCCGGCCTATAATGCCCCGCCAACTCCACATCCTCCGTACTCCTATCGCTCTCCCTCCTCTCCTCCTGCACCTTATCCGTCCTCTGCGCGTTCTTCGCCCTAACCGCCTTCTTCCTCCTGGCCTCACCCACAACCATCGCCGCAACCCACACCAACCACATAACCGCCGCAATAACACCATACGCAATGGCTCCATCGCGCGAGTTATCCGCGAGCAGCAATCCCAATCCACCGTTGATCATACCAAGCGTGATCGCAATACGTCCAACCCAGATATGCGCGTAGGAAGTAAGAGTGCGACGCTGCGTCTTCTTGAAGAGAATGTGGTGCAGCGTTCCGAGGAAGGGCATGAAGAAGACGAGGCAGAAAACGAGGATACCGATGATGGCGTGGTAGCTGCTAATGTAGTGACCCCCGCTGACGGGGAGCGCGAGCCAGATACCCATTCCGAATGCAGCGATGTACACCATGTACGCCAAGATCTGGAAGCCAGCGTGTAGCCACACGATGCCTGGGAAAGAAGCGAGGCGGATGGCGATGGCGCCGGAGGGGAAGAGGATGACGAAGGCGAGGGAGGCGAGGACGCCGTGCGCGATTAGCATGGTGCGTTTCTTGGAGGGGCTGACGGACGCGCCGGAGCCGATGGTTTGCACGGAGTTTCCGCCTGTGGCGCCGCCGTTGGGGAGGGTATCGCAGTAGGGGAGGTCGTCGTCGTCGTCCTTGCCGCCCTTGTCGGGGGAGGGGGAGCGCTTGTCTCCTGGGGGGCCGTTGGGGCGCGATGTAGGACGAGAAGTGGGGCGACCGTAGTTATCATTATCGTCGTCGTCGTCGTTGTTGCTGCTCGTCTGGCTCGGCTTCGAATTTCCTGATGCTGCGGCGCCGGAGGGGCGCTGGCGGCAGTTGGTAGGTGTTGCGCCGCCTGTTGTGCCGGTTGGTGAGGTGTTGACGAGGGGGTTTACGCTTGAACCGCCCTTTGCTTGGGCGAACTGCCAGTCGAAGACTCCTTGGTTGGAGTGCTGGTCGATTTGCGCAGAGGTGGAGTCGTCGTTCTTAGGTCCGCCAGATGATTGGTAGGCGAAGATCCAGCTTCCGCTGTTTCTGGTGAAGTCCATGGTGCCGCCAGACCAGGAGTTGCAGTTTGAACCTGCGTCACGTGTTAGTTTGTGTTGATGTCGTGGTGATTATCAGTCTTACATCTCACGTTTGCGGTCATCACACCGTTCGAAACACCAGATCCTTCAAGCAGAGTGACTTGAGCTGCATCGTTGGGGCTGGGAGGCTGGTAACTGCTAGTCGATCGCGGCGATAATGTGACATTGTTTCCAGATCCTGAAGTGTACACAACGAAGATGTTGGAGTTGGGCATGCCGCTGCCTTGGCCGAGCGCGACCCACTCATAGTTGCTTGGGGCTGATATCTGGAAGAAGATGTCTCCTGATCCAGATGATGCTGTGCGCTCGGGTATATTGAGACCATAGCATACACCGGTAGAAGGGCAGACACTGGCTACTTGCGCTGTGGCTTGGGAGGCTAGATAGGGTTAGCACCGTGGTAAGATGGGGCTGTTGTTGGGGGCTTACCCAGAGCCAAGAGGCCCATGACGGAACTTGTTGTGCGCTTCATCTCTTGTGCTCTGAAACTGGAAGGTCGTTGAATGATGCTGAACACTCGAGGTTGCCAAAGGGCTCGATGTTTAAGGCTAGTCGACAGCGCCTAGCTGAAAGCGTGGCTTGATGGCGTCGTCTCTAGAGGCGATCACGAAGCTATTGATCTGAGTTCAAGTAGCCAAACCAATAGGAGAAGATGTCTTGAGGTGAGTAAGGGATATGCAATTCGATAGTGATTCGGCAGCAGAGGACAAAGAGGTTTATAGATGGTGGAGCCCGGATCACCCGCCTTCCAAGATACAGCTCCAAGCCCCCAAGAGAGATGCTGACAGAAGCATGGCTACGTACACGCAACCTGGCTTAGTTTGGTGGAGGTAGGTACCTCGCAGGCACAGGTGAACCCAACGGTATTACTGCTGATGTGTGGTTGGACAAGCCTGGCCGAATGCGGCGGCTTTGCGGAGAGCCGTCAGTCACCGGCTGGGCATAGCAAAACACCGTGAGGACCTCGCGATATGACAACACAACTTGTGCAAGCAGTACGCGTCACGAACGCCAGAGGGCCGCGATAACAAGTGAGATCTCCCGCCTGTACATGGTGCAGGGTCTGGCGCAGAGAGGTGGTACCAGTGAGGGCCAGCGGACTCAACGTTCGGCGCGGCTTGGCTGGACGCGTCGTGGTGGCTATGTGCAGGGCCAAACAAGTAAGTTGCATCCGGACGAATGACACGCCAGCTATTTTGCAAAAGTAATGTCCCGGCGCGGGGGCACGCTGGGAACGGCGGGCATGTCAGTTCACGTAAGGTTGGGAACAGGTGTGGTCTCGACGGTCGCGGTCTTGGTGCCCGCTCTTGTGGGCCCTCCTGTCCCGCACGTCCCTCGCCTTGGATCTCCCCAACACCCAATTCCAGCGACCGCAATTCCAAGACATGTCAGCAACATGCGTCGAGATCCAGACTCCCATGACTTCATCCTCGAGCTGGGCACACTCTTACAGGAGCATGCTGTCCAGGCTGTGCTCGTCACCGTCAGCCCTCGGCCATCGGCCTAGTCGAACTCCCCATCGGAGATTCGGCCTGTTTCTCATATTACGGTGTATACGCGACATTATTACCACTGCATGGAATTGCCTTCTACTTTGGGACCATCGCACTGCAGCTGCATGAAGTCCGGTCGGTTTCACGTGGCGCCGTTCATGTCTCGATAGGCGCAGGCTGGTGGCTTGCAAGCGTGGCAGCCTCAGCCCTGAAGGACCGCGTCAGCTCGGAGCGCGAAACCTTGGATTCCAGGAAGTAAAATCAACACCATCGGCGTCTTCTGCTGGGAATCACCGAGGCATCACAATGCCAAGCTAGCTGCTTTCTCTCAGCATACGTCGATGATGAGTTATCGACATCTTGTTGCGGGGTTGCTCGATCGCGAGAGCCTTCGGAGTTAAGTGTGAGGGCCGATAGTGAGTTGTCGCACGAAGTCAGCACCCGCCGCCCCAATCTTTCACATCAATCGTCTCACCTCCGCGCTCCTCGCCGTCTTCTCGCAGTTTGTGCTCGAGTGCACGTTTCTCTTCTCGCGTGCATTTCACGATCAGTGTGTTTTTTCGATTCGGTTGTTTTCCTGTCCTTGCACCGACAAAGGCCCTTTTCCTCATCACAACAATATTTGCAGCAATCACGTGTTATCTCTTGCACTGCCACTTCCAAGTTTCTTACTCACCCAGCCAATCAACACCCCGGCAGCGTATGTCGGTCGGGAAAGGGCCGAGCAGAAATCTGGGGTATTACCGTCCGCTAAGGAGTAACATCCGGCGGTAGCGGTAGCGAGCAATGAGCATCATACGATGCCCGCGATTCCAAATTCACATTGCTGCGCCTCAGGCTTAGAGTGTATTGGGGGTGAAGCTGCCAGAAGAAGAGCTAGGCTGACAACTAGAAGGCTGTGGTTGGTGGATGCTCATGGTGGGTAGTTCATCTCCTCGTACATCGTCAAAGTGCTGTACAGTCATGATTGGTACTTCCTTAGTCATGGTCGATATGAGGAAGGTACATCTCTATGTGTCGTTGTGGTCACCGCATATCGCTCGGCGTGACGGCGTGTCTTCATCTACGCCACGGTCGAATTTCATCAACGAGCACTCCACCTTCTCCTTCTGAACACCAGATTCGGCGATTTGAGTCCTTGAGAAAGTCAGAGGCGGTGAGCAGTTCTCCTTCCGTCGAGATTCGAGCGTTATGCTTCGGCCAACTCTCTCCCAGTCGTCGCGGGTACCTACTTCTTCAGTTCTGACATTTCGTCCGTGCTATGATCAGGGCTAGCGGGTACCTGTCCCTCTGGAAAAAGACCCTCTGAGTTTCGGAGTATCTTCCGCACGTGCTATTAACTTTCACTTCGAACTTATTAGATGGATGCCGAAAACCAAAGCCGCTCGAAGGTATCTAATAACACTTGAACACCAGAGATCATTGTACGCGATGCACCTGATGTGTCCAGACCAGACTGGGTAGTCTGCTATATGTTCCCCGCATTCTTGCCCTTTCTCCGAGCTGCATGTTGTACGTATATTAGCGATCATCCGGCAGCTGCATTTAGCCTTCGGTATAGTAACACCCAGGCACACCAAAGGTCGCCCACATCACCAGAGAGTTCCTTCTCTCCGCAGTCATAATTTGCGTCCAGAGTACCTTAGGCGTCATCCTCATATGTGCTGAGAGATGGCGTACCGTGCGATAGATGAGATGTCGCCAGGTGCACAGCATGAAGACAACTTAAGACGGCCGGCTCCTTGGTCCTCACACCGGAACGTAACCGAAGCATAACCATAGCTTCGCACATAGACAGGTACCTCTACAACATCGCGACCACCACAATGTTACTCCACACCCTCCTTTCCCTCACCACCCTCCTCACGTTCGCATCCGCCCAAACCACCAACCCCCCAATCCGCTACATGCCCTTCGGCGACTCCATAACCGAGATAATCTGCTGGCGCTCCAAGCTCTGGCAACGCCTCCAAACCACGCCCTTCAACTCCTCCACCGTCGACTTCGTTGGCAGCGGCAAAACCGAAAACAATTGCCGCGACACAACCTACGACCGCGACAACGAAGGCCACTCTGGTTTTCTCGCCATCGACATCGCGAATAAAGGGCAATTGGATGGGTGGCTGAAAAGTAATCCTGCGGATG